CCAAGTTAAATCACCCATGTCGTCTCTTCCTTTTAATAAAACTTCAAATCTTCTCTAGAATGCCTATTTTCCTAACCAATGCCAGCCAGTTCTAGTTAATTCTTTTGTTTCAATATTCATGCCTTTACAAAGCACCTTTTTTTTTTTTTTGGAGAGATTTATATATATATATATAAAATTAATAATTTTAAAACTATTTTCTGTATCTTCTCCCATGGTCTCTCTGAATTCAGACTGAGCCACCTAAGGCAAAAACTGTATGTATCATGTGTTATCTCCTGTTACTAACCACTAACTCCAACAGGGCACGCCTTTTTCCACAAAGATCAATGATTTCGTCAACTTTAAAATGTACACTTTTTGCATATCAAAATCCCAATGGATACCCTTCTCACCAATGAAAATTATTGTGATAGTCTCTCTTTCTTTTCTTTTTTTTTTGAGAGGCTTTTGCTATAGGGTGTGGTGCGTTCACCAAAAATCACCCCCCAGGGGGGATGGCCATGCTGCAATCTCTTCTCCTCTCAGGATCTTGGGCACACATGCACAAGTGCCCAGCGTGAGTTTAAGCCATTGAGTCCAGGACTCAAGTCGCGCTGGACTACATAGGAGTCCATGCCATCTGGGGGTCCCAATAATGTTTCTTAACATCACTTTTTAAAAGTTCAAATTGAGGGGCAGGTAGGTGGCATGGTGGTTAAGGCGCTGGACTCCCACAAGGATAACCATGGTTCAAGTCCTGGACCTGGTAGCTTTGCTTTCTCACTTTCCCTCTCTTCCTCCCCCTAAAGCATGTGCGCCCTCAGTAAATTAAAATAATGATACATTAAATAATTTTTTTAAAGTTCAAGCTGAACACTAATTTATTTGTCTGTATACCAAGTACCGCTAGTAAAATAGAATTTGATACTATTCAGTTCATGACGAAGTTTTTCCTTCATGCAAAGTAACCTAGCAAAAACAAATTCCAAGTTTTCTCAAGAGACGCACAGATACGAAATAGGAACTGGGCGAATTACCTCCACGTTGTCTGTGAGACCGTACTCAGAATGAGGATTTTCCGCAACCTAGAAAACAAAACGCGGGACACAGGGACATCAGCCACCTTCTCCCGCTGCCTCCCTGAACACCCCACCCCGAACCCCGGGCCTCCCGGTACCTGCGTCTGCCCCTCGAGCATCTGCTCTGGCTCCATTGCGGACCCTGCAAGTCACAGTACTCGGATTCCAGTCTTGGAAAACAAGAAGAGACCAGAGTTACCCGGGAAATTTCAACACGAAGACGCTAGGATGGAGTCCAAAGCAGCCCCGACCCCGCCCCTCACCCCCACCTGGGCGCGGGAGCACCCCGAGCAGTAGAGGACCAGTGTGGGACAGCTGGCGACAGAGCGCCCGCATCAGTTCCGGAAACTCTGTGGAAGTCCCAAGTGCCTGGGTAAGTAAGGAAAGAGGGAAAGGGAGCCGATTACCCACGCCCGAGCCGTCGGTTCCTAAGAGACCCGCACCGCGCCACCAACTCCCAGCAAGAACCGCTTCGGCCGTAAGTGACGGATGTCGCAAGGCTGCCGCGCCTGCGCAGAGCTCGTCGGGGGCGGGGAGGTGCGCGCAGTGGGGCTGCGAGCGGCTCCCGGGGGTCTGCGTTGTGTCTTGCAGGAAAAGCTCCTCAACCTGCCCACCGAGGGCGAGCGCCCCCACCTGAACATCAGTGACCTAGCGAGCTGGCTGGAGCTGTGCCTGGCCGGCCTCGGTGCGGACCGAAATGTCTGGCCAAGCTCTTCCTCCAGGAACCGAAACCACTTCCTCGCTGAGTGATTCCTACTAGAAAATCTTAGGCCCAGGCTAAAATACATAAGGCGGCGGAGTGCCTGTATTTAACTTAAAGCAGAAGGAGGGGCAATTAGCGATTGTGAGATTCCATATTCAGTTTTTATTCTAGCCCTTAAGTCTGTGAATATGCGAGGTTCATGCAACTTTACATTTGTATCAAGATTACAATATGCAACTGGCTTTCTAAACTGGGGTCCTATTGATAGCATTGTATTTGTAAAAGATACAAAGGGTAATTTGCCTCCTACCCACAATCTGTAAGTAGCAAATGAAGTCTGGTAAATGGGATTACCTTCATTCCAATAAATTCCATTTATTTTAATGTAGATGTTAATGATACACTGGGACTTCCTGCCTTTATCTCAATCTCATTTGTACTTGAACTTTGTAATATGAAAACTTTGAAAAGTTAATATCAAATATTTGGAGACTATATTATGGCAAATCCACATGATGGAATATAACCTTAAAACTAAAAATCATGACGATTTATAAGGAAATATTAATAACATTACTTTTTTTTTTTTTTTTGGAGAGGTTTTCGCTATAGGGCGCGTGCGCTCGCCAGGCAGAGAGAGACATAGAGACAGAAAGCGAGAAATCACCCCCCAGGGGGGATGGCTACGCCATGATCCCCTGCAACCCCTTCTCCTCCATTCTCCCCTCGGGATCTTGGGCACGCACGCACACGCGACCGGTGTGAGTTTTAAGCCACCGGGTCTGGGACGCAAACAGCGGTCGGCTACGTGGGAGTCCAGCGACATAGCCATTATGCTAAGTGCTGGTCCCTCCAATAACATTACATTTTCATATTGCTGTTTTGTGGGACCAGCAGGTGGCATAATGGTTACATCGCTGGACTCCCATGTAGTAGGCTGCAGTTCCAGCCCCGCACCTGGAGACTTAAAACCCACACCAGGGACCATCAATTGGCTATTGGTTACGTCCCTGGACTCCCAATTAGTCGACCATGGTTGGAGTCCCTGACCCAACGACTTCATCAAACTTACACTGGGCGCCCCCCTGAGCCGTGATTTCTGGCTTTCTCTTTGTCTGTCTCTGTCTCTCCGGCAAAGGCATGTACCCTATAGCAAAAAGCAGTTGGCATAATGCTCATGTCACTGAACTCCCAAAATGAGTGGAGCAGCCACAATTCCTTTCTAGGTGGTCTATTTCCAGACCCCGTGTTCTTAACTATGCCACGAGACGTTGCTAACACTGGAGCCAGGAAGTCCGCTGCCTACTTTGTAAACAAGCTGCTTCTGCCAACAACGGGGAGGACAGAACTTTTGACTACAGCCATACGGCACAGGTTTGCCTGGAGAGGGATAAACAGGAACCGTCAATCCTACTTCGAGCAAACGACGTGGTGAGTGGCCATGGCAACAGGTACCCTTCTGGAGCGCAGGAGCCGCGTGTTTTGCTGAAGGTGTTGCAGCGTTTCTTTTCTGCAACATCCTACATGCTCTCCCTCACTCCCTCCCTTGAGGTATTTCTCATTTTCTCTCTCTGGCTCTCACTCTGTCCCTCTCTGGTCAAATTAAAAGTGAATAAGTAAATGGATGAATAAAGTTAAATAAGTCTTTTTTTAAAAAAAGGGGCGACCAGCAGTTGGTGTAATGACTGTGTCACTGGACTCCCAAGTATTCAACCGCAGTTCAAGTCCCAGACCGGGTGGCTTAAACTCATGCCAGCGTGTGTGCCTGTGTGCCCAAGATCTCTAGAGGAGAAGGGAATGCAGAGTGGCCATCCCCTTGGTGGGAGGGTTGGGGAGAGTGATTTCTTGCTGTCTCTCTAGTGAGCACACTTGGCCTATAGCAAAAATCTCTAAAATTAAATAAAGGGGCCAGCAGGTAGTGTGGTGGTGAAGGCACTGGAATTCCCACATGGCCAACTGCAGTTCAAGTCCTGGATCTGGCAGCTTGCTTTCTCTCTCTCTCTCTCTCTCTGTCTTTCTCTGGCAAAACTCATATGAAAAATAATAAATAACTAAAATAAATAATTATTTTAAATAAATAAATAAGGGCCTGCAGGTGGTGTGGTGGTTAGGGGCACTGGACTCCCTCATGGCCAACTGTGGTTCGAGTCCCAGACCTGACAGCTTGCTTTCTCTCTCTCTCTCCCCCTCTCCCTCTTCCTTTCTCATCAAATTAAAATAAATCTAAATCAATAAAGTTAAATAAAATAATTATTTAAAAGAAAAACTAAATAAATAAAATTCGTTTAGGAATTAGATTTGTGGATGTTTTTAAAGTTTTGTAATGTAAATTTGATCATTAGTATTGTGATTGTTGACAGCTACCATATAGCACTTAAAGGGTTTTACATGTAAGACTGATGCAAAGATATGGATGCATATGTATAAAATATATACTATAAATTCAAGGGCCTGCAGGTGGTATGATGGTTAAGATTCTGGACTCCACATGGCCAGCCACAGTTTGAGTCCTGGACCTGGCTGCTTACTTTTTTACTTTTTCTTCTCTCTTTCTCTATCTCTCTCTCTCTGGTGAGTGTGCAGTGCCCTGTACCACGTAGTCGACCGCGGTTCGAGTCATGGACCCAACGGCTTAAACTCACGCCGGGTGCGGGTGCATGTGTGCCCAAGATCCCAAGAGAATTGAGGAGAAGGGATTGCGGTGTGGCCATCCCCCCGGGGGGGGATTTCTCATTTCCTGTCTCTATGTCTTTCTCTATCTTTCTGGCGAGCGCACGCACTCTATAGCAAAAACCTCTCCAAAAAAAATAGAATTATTTGACTGTTTATTTATTTATTTTAATTCAACCAGAGAGGGACAGAGAGAGAGAGAGAGAGAGAGAGCGCAGAGAAGAAAGAAAACAGTCAGGTCTGGGACTCAAATCATAGTTGGCCATGTGGGAGTCAAGTGTCCTTAATCATCATGCCATCTGCTGGCCCCATTTTTCTGTATTTTTCTATGCAAAAATGCATCATGAGTTTCCTGACGTCCCAATAGTCAATTACACATAGTGTTTTAATGACTTAAGGTAAAAATCTACACTTTCAAGAATAACATTTTTTTAATTATTTATTTAATTTTATTAAATATTATCATTATTCTCAAATTTGTCATAGGGCACGTGTGCTCACCAGAGAGAGAGAGAGGGAAAGCAGGAAAGCAAGCCAGCATCTCAATCACCACACCACCTGCTGACCTCAAGAATAACATTTTTACAAGGTCTGTTTGTATTTTATCAATTTTGAAATAAATATGATTTTAGTCTCTAGAGGAGGAGTGAACTTCTATTCTGGGAATTCAGGTATTTGGTCTCTGGTCTCTGGTCTTCTACTTGTTAAGCTTCGGTGTCCTGTCATACTTAATATTGATTGTATTTTCTATGCTTTTGTAATTATTTTTAATAATTATTTTATTTTATTCATAATTATTATTATTTTAACTTGACCAGAGAGATATCAGGGGGGTGAGGGTGAGAAAGTAAGCTGCTGGGCCCAGGGTTTGAACCAGAGCCAGCCATGTGGGAGTCCAGCTCTTTTTTTTTTTGAGAGGTTCTTGCTATAAGGCGTGTGCACTCACCACAAAGACAGAGACACAGAAAGAGAGAAATCATACCCCAGGGGGGATGGCCATGCCGCAATCCCTTCTCCTTCATTCTCCTCTTGGGATCTTGGGCACGCACGCACATACGCCATGGTTTACTACATGGGAGTCTAGTGACATAGCCATTACACCAACTGCTGGCCCCTTATTCTTATTTTTTAATTTGACTGGTGAGAGGAATGAGAAAGCATGCAACCAGGTCCAGGACTTGAACTGTGGTCAGCCATGTGGGAGTCCAGCATTTTAACCAGCACACCACCTGCCGGCCCATGGTCATGTCCTTATTTATTTATTTAATGCCAAAGAGTGCTTGTGCTTACCAGAGAAAGACAGAGTAAGAGATAAAAAGCACCCCCCCCCAGGGGCTAGCAGGTAGTGTGATGATTAAAGACACTGATTCCCCCATGGTCAACCATGGTTTGAGTCCCAGACATGGCAGCTTGCTTTCTCACTCTCTCTCTCTCTCTCTCTCTCTCTCTCTCTCTCCCTCTCTTTGGTGATCACACATGCCCTCCAGCAAATTAAAATAATAATAATAAATTAAATTAAATAAATAATTCTTTTTTAAAAAGTACCCCCCAAACACACTTGGGATTACACCACAATGCCTTTTCCTCCATTCTTCCTTCCTATTGGGATTTTAGACATGCATACATATGCACCCAGTGTGTTTTTCAAACTGCTAAAGGGGTTTTGAACCACAGTTGGCCATATGGGATACAGCTCCCTTAACCGTTATGCTTCTGGGCCAGCTCTAGATCAAGTTCTTTAACTAGTTAACCTCTTTGTAAAATGAGTGGAACAAGAATGATGAAAGAATACATTCTTTTCATAGTTTTGCTATAGGGCACATGTGCTCACCAGAGAGAGAAAGAGAGCACACCCCTAGGTAGGATGACCATGCTGCAATTCCTTCTCATCCATTCCCCTCGGGATTTTAGACACACACACACACACACACACACACACACACACACACACACACACAGCCTGTTTGATCAAACTGCTGGGTTCAGAAATCAAATGGCCATGTGGGAACTATTCACCTTAACCACCACCACACTACCAGCTGGGCTGAAAGAATACATTTAATACCTCTAACACATACCTGGAAGATAACATACATTTTTTGTCTTTTAAATTTATCAAGTTATTCCAGATTTCTGACTTTACAGGGGTCTCATTCCTTAGCAGTCTCGATTCATGTTTTCTGCCCCCTGAAATCATACTTCAATCTCAAATCCATTATGTCAGCTAACAGCTTCCTAATTTGTCTGGAGAAAAAGTACCTTGATATTAATCCTGCCTTATACTCTGCTTGGACTGAAGAGTCTAACCTTCTCATCCATTCACCCTAGAACATGAGTCTCCTGGCTTTCAGATTGTAAGAACTTCCAGGACACTTAATCCTGAGTGGCATCTGGGCCAGTTTCGCCAGGACAAAAAGGAGGAGCTGAGTACTGTGCTAATCCAGGACATTCAGTCCCTTTATCGCTTTACCCACTAATTACCTAGCAAAGTGTCTACTACCAAATATTTTTTTTGGATATTTCATCTATACTTGCCTTCTAAGAAATTCCTCAAACTGTCAGCTTGATGTAAGCTAGATTATTTGAAGTAGGAATCAATGATAGATATTAAGAACCTCTTTCCTTTTTCCAATTTCTTTCATAACAGTGCAAGAGAGAACATGTGTACAAACATGAGATAGTTAGGTACTGTTCTGCTCCCTCCTGGCAACGGGGTTTGGTCACACTGCAATTCCCTTCCTCCAGCTCTCTAGCTAGTCAGATCTTGGGCACTGGTGTCCAGCACATTTCAGATCAACTGAAACAGAACTTGAACCTGCAGTTGGCTATGTGGCTTTCAGCACTGCAGATCAGTATGCCACCACCTATGCTACCAACTGAGCCAAAGACTGCTTTTCAACTAAGGAAAAAAAAAAAAAATAGAATGGCATGCCTAGAGTCTATAGAGGAGATAACTGGTTTTGAAAAAGACAACAAGTTGGAGCCAGTGGATGGTGTGGTGGTTATGTTGCTGAACTCCCACATGACAAGAGAGATTCAAGGCCTGGACCCGGTGGCTTGAAGATCACCCTGGGCACATGTGCATGCATTTCAAAGAGCCTGGGAGGAGAAAAAAGAAGGGGTTGTGGTGTGGCCATCCCCCCTGGGAAGTGATTTCTCACTTTCTCTCTCACTGTCTCTGTCTTTCTCTCCATCCAGCAAGCACATGCACTCGATATAAAAAAATCTCTCTTAAAAAAAAAAAAAAACTCAAAAAAAGAAAAACGAAAAGACAGAAAACCTAAAATAGACAAATTAAAATATCTAGTTGGAGGTGAGGGATGAGAGGAGCAAAATAATCATTAGGCGATCACCCTATTGGTATGTTAGTAACCAAAAACATAATTGTGAACAACTAATCATTTCCCTAAATTGAATCTGCAATGTGCTGATTCATTTGTTCAACAAATATATATATAACACTATATATCACACACACACACACACATATATATGTGTGTGTGTGTGTGTGTGTGTGTGTGTGTTGTAGATGTTTTTGCCTTAGGGTGTGTACATTCACTGGAGAGAGATAGAGATAGTGAGAGGGAAAGTGAGAAATCATCCCCCAGGTGGGACGGCTATGCCACAATCCCTTCTTCTCCATTCTCCTCCCGGGATCCTGGGCACACATGCACATACAGCCAGTATGTTTTAAGCCATGGGGTCTGGGATTCGGTCATTTGGGAGTCCAGTGATATAACCGCTATGCCATCTGCTGACTCCTCAACAAATAAATTTTAACCACAGAATGTTCCAGGCAATGAATGAGGTGCCAGGATTATAGTAGGGAATAAGATCTAGTTCACAGTTTAATGCAGTGGCTAGACCTCGAAGAGCAATAATACTCAGGCATACACATGTGTTCCGTGTGTGTGTGGTGTGGCCATGTTAAAAAATGGACCTGTGATGTGCGTGAATGTCAGAAACCACGAGAAACTGGAGAGTAACATTCCCTAATTAACTAGGACAGTTGTTACATAGCTAGAGGTGACTTTTGCCTTTTAGGAATGTGGAGCTTAATGCTGCCATATTATTTTTTTTCTTAATTTGCCAATGAGACCAGCAGATGGTGTAATGGCTATGTTGCTGGACTCCCATGTAGTCGACTGAGGTTCAAGTCCCAGACCCGGTGACTTAAACTCACACTGGGCACGTGTGTGTACGTGCCCAAGATCCTGAGAGGAGACTGGAGGAGCAAGGCCATCCCCCAAGGGGGTGATTTCTCACTTTCTGTCTCTCTGTCTCTCTCTGTCTTTCTGACAAGCACACCTGCCCTATAGCAAAAACCTCTCAAAAAAAAAAAAAATTGCCAAAGGGCACGCACTCTAACCAATGAGAAAGGTAAAGGGGAAAAGAACACTCTCCAATGGGGCATGGTCACACACAGTCCTTTCTCTTCTGTTTCTCCATCTCTTTGGCATTTGGGGCATTGTTTGGCATGTTCTCCAAGCAGCTGGGTGCAGAATTTGAACTGTGTGGTTGGCCATGTGGGATCTGGCTACCCTAGCCACCTAGTCACAGGGCTGGCCCACACTATTTTTTTAAAAGCATTATTTATTTAGGGGCTGGATGGCAGGAGGCATGGTGGTTAAGGTGGTGAACTCCTGTGGAGAGCAGCCAATTTGAAAACATGTGATTAAAACATGTGGCCTGAAGACACATGCAGATATGTGCTTTTGTAAGCTACACTAGTAGGGCTATTGAAAAGCATTTACATACAAAAGCAGTACTTGCCTGCTGTCAATGGCTGTCTTTTTGTTGTTGTTAATACCCAATACCTAGATACTGCCCAGTATCAGGCTAAAGCAAGTCACAAGCCTTTATCAAATTATCCCCCAAAAGGATCAGAGAAATTATATGGCGCCAGTCATTTTCACATCTTCAGTCAATTTACATCCAAAATAACTGGCTTTGGATCCTAATTTCTCCTCCCTTATTCTCTTTGCATTCCACTTCCTACTTCCCCATTCCTTTTACATCCCATGTTCCCCTTCCCCCATTCTCTGCCCTTTAAAAGAATAAACCTGAGGCTGGTTCTAGTCGCAGCTTCTCCATCAGAGAAGCTGTGCCCACCTAATCCTCTCTTTTCTATACTTGTGTGTCTTTGTGTGTTTTGTTATTGCGTCTATTTCTAATCCACAGCCTTCCCCACTCAGGGAAACATGTTCATGCTGAGTTGGTCTCGGCAAAGTGGCGCCCAACGTGGGGCCTGAGTATGAGGAAAGAGTCAGACGAGTAGACACTCATTGCAGCCAGCAGGATATTATTGAGTAAGGTAAGGATCCTATAGAATAAAGTAAGAGTAAGAGTAAAAGAGATACCAGAGTAGAAGAGATACCAGAGTAAAAAAAAAATACCAGAGAAGAAAGAGATACCAGAGTAGAAGAAAGAGATACCAAAAGTAAAATAAGGAGTAAGGAGATATCAAAGTAAAATAAGGAAATTATAGAACAATAAAAGGAATGGATTCTATTATTATCAGGTGTAAAACATGGAGACAAAATTGTCTAGAGAAAGAAAAATGTATGTTCATATGTTGTCTTATATGTTAAAAGCTAGGGGCAATAAAGTTAGTATCAAGCGGTTACGTCTGTTTCTGATCTTCGTGCAGGAAACTTGCCCTTGGTTCCCAGAACAAGGAACAGTTTATGAGGAAACTTGGGAAAGGGTCAGAGAACAAATCAGAAAACAATATACAACGGAGGGTCCTAGCAAGATTCCCATCTTTGCTTTCTCCCTGTGGAATTTAATCAAGGAGTGCTTGAAACAAAACCCTCCAGAAAAAAACGGAGTTGGTTCAATAGTTCCACCAAATAACACTCCGGGGGGCTATGCCTCCCTCTTACATAAGAAATCAGAGTCTGTTACTAAAGACAAGGATACAGAGGTAATACCTGGTAAAGAAAATGACAGTCTTGTAAAGTTAGACAGACTTAAGACTGCAGACTCTGAAGGGGTTGCAGGGTGGGAAGAGAAGGAGCTGCTGCTCTTAGGCCTAGTGCCCCCCCCCATGGCCTGCTGCTTCCTAGTCAAAACCTATTTGCATATTAAATGGTGCTAGGGCAGATAGAACAACTCCCACTTTAAGGCCCCTCCAGAGAGCTTTGCATTGGGCAGCAGAGGAGAGACTACATTGGGATTTAATTTGTGCCCTGTTATTGAGGCTCTTAATCCTGACAATCAAAATCAAAATCAACGTCAGCATGAGCCAATATCCTTTAAAATGCTAAAAGAATTGAAAATGGCTTATATGCAATATAATCCCGTGGCACCATATACAATTGCGGTGTTAGAGACAGCTACACAATCTACGTTTACCCCTAATAATTGGCAAGTACTAGGCAAGGCATGTTTATCAGGAGGAGATTATCTTTTGTGGAAATCTAACTGGTTTGAGGAAGCCCAAGAGCAGGAGAATAGGAATGAACAACATAGAATACCCATCACATTTAAAATGTTAACTGAAACTAGAGAGCAAGCCAATACTGGCACACAAAACGTATTCATGCTAAGCTAGTCTCAGCAGACTCCCATATGGCCAATTACAGTTTATATATTATTTTCTTTAATTTGGACAGAGAGAGAGAGAAAAAGAAGGACAATGAGAGTACGAAGGCAAGCTGCCAGGTCCAGTTTTCAAACTGCAGTCTACCATGTGGGAGTCTAGCATCTTAAACACCATGCCACTTACCTGCTCTCATGCAATTTTTTTTTTAATTGCCAGAGGGCACATGAACGACAGATAGAAAGAGAGGGAGAGAGAGAGACCACACCACAGTAGGGCATGGGTTTTGTCACAATCCTTTTCCCTCCATTCCTCCTTTCCTTCAGGATTGGGGGAACTGGACACATATGCACACAGCATGTGCTTGAAGCAGCTGGGCCCGTGATTCGAACCCTGGTTGGGGTTCAAATGGAATCTAGTTTTTTTGTTTGTTTGTTTGTTTGTTTTAATCTAGTTTTGTATGCATGATGTTTAACCACTATGATTTGGGACCAGCCTATTAGCTTTTTCAAGAGACACTAGAATTCTTAGGATTTCTTTCCTTTTTTTTTTTTTTTTAAATGTTTTTTGCTATAAGGTGTGTATGCTTGCTGGAGAGATAGAAACAGTGAGAAGGGAAGTGAGAAATCACCCTTTATCCTCCAGAAGGGATGGCCCCATGACACAATCCCTTGTCCTCTAGTCTCCTCTCAGGATTTTGGGCACACGTGCGCATGGCGTGATTCCCATGCCTCTGGGTCTGGGAATTGTGGTCAGCCATATAGGAGTCCAACACCTCAATTACCATTCCACCTGGTGGTCTGCTCAGGTTCGTTTGTTTTAATAGGATTCTGAGTTTTTAGGGCTGACCCTGTGGTATAGTAGTTGAGCATTGTGCGTACAGCGAGATCCCACCTTGCCAACTATGTTTTGCTTTGTTTTGTTTACTGCAAGGAACACTCACCAGAGAGAGGTAGAGAGAGAGAAAGAACCCCCTAAGAGAGGGTAGCCACACTGCAATCCCTTCTTCTCCATTTTCCTCTCTGGATTTTGGCTATGCATGTATATGTGTCTAAATGTGTGTGTGTGTGTGTGTGTGTGTGTGTGTGTCAAGAGCCAAGTCTGGGACTTGAACCACACAGTTGGCCATATGGAATCCAGTCAACTTAACCACTACACCACCAGCGGGCCCTGCCAACTGTGGTTTGAGTCCCAGCAGCTTGAGAAACATACCAGGTGCTTCTGCTCACATGCCTGAGACCTGTGGCATGACCACACCCCACAGAAGAGTTTTTCTCGCTTACTCTGGAGAGTACACACACACCCTTTGGCAATTTTAAAAAAAAAAAAAAAAAAGGAAAAGGAAAAAAAAAAGAATTCTGAATTTCTGTGTGAAATCTACTGGGTAACAAATATTGGCTCAAAATTTTAAAACAAACTGAAAACAAAACTTTTGAGTTGCCAGTTCGAGATTCTCTAGTTACAGGGGATTCACTTCTATGAAAGTATGTATGAGCTTATGGTTTCAAAATAGTAGGTGTATGTATAAATTGTTACCTGACCTGCTCAACTTGCTTCTTGAAGCTATGATGCTATGGAAACATAGCAGTCACTTAATATGGAATTTTACATGAACGCCCTAGATTATCAAAAGTTATATTAAGTTGGTACTCTGAACAAAATATTGGGTATATAAATATAATCTTACTATTAAATTTTCCCCCCAGGGGGCACTCAAGGGAGATGGAGAAAGAGAGAAAGAGAGAGAGAGAGAACCTTCTAATGGGGTGTGGTCATGCCATGACCTCTTCTCCTCCATTTCTCCATCTTCTCGGGATTTAGGGCATGCATGCACATGTGCTTCGCATGTTTCAGGCCGCTGGGGCCAGAGTTTGAACCTCACTCAGACACGTGGAATCCAGCTCTCTTAACCACTAAGCTATAGGGTGATCCTAAATAGCTAGTATAGCTGTTATAATTATTTTATTTAAGTTTATTTATTTACTTATTTAAATTTGACCAGAGAGGGACAGAGTGAGAGAGAGAGAGAGGGAATGAAAGAGAGAGAGAAAGTGAGAAAGCAAGCCGCCAAGTCCAGGACTCAATCCATGGTCAACTATGTGGGAGTTCAGCACCCTTAACCACCTGCCACCTGATGGCCCCAATAGCTGATATTTTAAGCTGCTAATGTTTGAAGTGGTTTACTACACAGCAAACAGATACCTTATACAATCATAAAGTTTGAACAGTTTTTCAAATTCATACCCATGTTTAGTTGCCAGAGGGTATATGCACTTGTCAGAGAGAGAGAGAGAGATTAGGAGAGAGGGGAAGAAAGCAGCCCTCAATGGGGCATAATTGCACTGCAATTCCTTCCCCACCTGTTCTCTGTTCTGTCAGGATTTGGGGCATGCATGCACACATGCCTAGTGTGTTTAGTTTTTGTTTTTTTAATTATTCATTTTCACCCAGAGTATTTTTCTTTTCTTTTCTTTCTTTTTCTTTTTTCTTTTTTTTTTTTTTTT